ACTAGCTTTGTTCATTGTGATATTTCCTAAGGCCTACTTGGCTTCACATTCCAGGATATCTGAGCTATGTCTACATAGCTCTTCTGTGTATTCTTGCAACTTCTTCTTAATATCTTCTGCTTCTGTTAGTTTCATACAATTTCTGTCCTTTACTGAGCCAATCTTTGCATGAAATGTTCCCTTGGTATCTCTAATTTTCTTGAAGAGATCTCTAATCTTTCACATTCTATTGCTTTCCTCTATTTCTTTGCACTGATCACTGGTTTACATAGTAGTAGCATTTCAAAAGTAAGAAAAGAAAGATACAAAGCCTCTTGAGACCCAGGCTTGACATATAGTATTTGCTATAAATTGTTGACTTAAACAAATGACAAGGCCATCCCAGACACCAAGGATAGAATCTTGACACCAAGAGAATCTATTCTTGAAATCAGAAAATCAGTAAAGAATTCTATCTCTTTTGCAATATATAACATAGATCATTGGTGTGTGGTTTATTTTTAACTTCTTTCTCTTTTAAAAGTTAGAGCATTAATTAAAGTATAATTACCAACAATGTTTATTTCTAATATTGCCATTCAGTATTTCTATACATTACAAAATGATCACCATGATGATTCTAGGTATCATCTGCCACCATACAAAGTTATTACATTTTGACAGCATTCAGCTGTCACTCAGTTGTGTCTAACTCTTTGCAACCCCATGGACTACAGCATGCCAGTCCTCCCATTCCATCACCAACTCCTGGAGCTTGCTCAAACACTTGTCCATCAATTTGGTGATGCCATCCAACCATCTCATCCTCTGTCGTCCCTTTATCTTTCTGCCTTCAATCTTTTCCAGCATCGGGGTCTTTTCCAATGAGTCAGTTCTTCACATCATGTGGCCAAAGTATTGGAGCTTCAGACTCAGCATCAGTCCTTCCAATGTATATTCAGAATTGATTTCCTTTAGGATTGACTGGTTTTATCTCATTGCAGTCCAAGGGACTCTCAAGAGTTTTCTCCAACACCACAGTTGGAAAGCATCAGTTCTTCGGCACTCAGCTTTCTTCATGTTCCAACTCTCACATCTACATATGACTACTAGAAAAACCATAGCTTTGACTAGACAGACATTTGTTGGCAAAGTAGTCTCTGCTTTTCAATATCCTGTCTTGTTTGGTCATAGCTTTCCTTCCAAACTATTGTCATATCTCTTCTTCTTAACAATACTGCTGACTGTATTTACCACGGTGTACATTTCATTTCCATGACTTATTTACTTTGAAACCAGAAGCTTGTTCCTCACCTATTTTATTCACCAGGCCCCCGCACCCCGCATCCTCATTTCCTTTGGCAATCACCTCTTTGTTCTTCATATCCTTGAGCCTGATTCTGTTTTGTTATGTTTTTCCACTTGGTTTAGTTATTAGACTGCACATATAAATGAGACCATACAGTATTTGTCTTTCCCTGGTGGCTTAGTGGTAAAGAATCTTCCTGCAATGCAGGGGACCCAGGATTGATCCTTGGGTGGGGAAGATCCCCTGGAGGAGGGCATGGCACCCCACTCAAGTACTCTTGCCTGGACAAACCTATGGACAGAGAAGCCTGGCAGGCTGCAGCGCATAGGGTCACACAGAGTCGGACATGACTGAAGCGACTAAGCAGCGCCAGCGGATTTACTCCCCTAGTTAATGTGGTTGCAAATCATACAATTTCTTCTGGCCCCAGATTTGTTTATTGGGAAGTTTTTTGATTGGGGTCTTGTTCAATTTCATTACCAATAACAGGTTGGCCCATATTTTCTATTTCTTCCTTATTTGGTCTTTAAATATTGCCTATTTCTAAGAATTTATCCATTTCCTCCAGGTTTTCTAACTTGTTGGCACATATCTGTTTGTAGTATTCTCTTATGATTGCCTGTATTTCTGTTAAATAGGTTGTAACATCTCTTTTATTTCTAATTTTATTTATTTGGTCACCCTCTCCTTTGCTAATGAATATGGTCAAAGATTTATCTTTTTTTTTTTTTTACTTTTCAAATAACTAATTCTTAGTTACACTGATATCTTCTATTGTTTTTCTAATGTACCTATCACTTATTTCTACTCTGATATTTATTATTTCATTCCTTCTACTAACTTTGATTTGTTCTTCTTTTTCTGGTTTCTTTAAGTGTACTGGGAAGTTGCTTATTTAAGATTGTTCTTGTTTCTTGAGTTTAACATTATAGACTTAACTCTTACAAATGACTGCTTTTGCAATGTTTTATAGAATTTAGAGTTTTGTTTCTTTTTTAATTATTTTTCCAATTTTAAACTTTTCTCTTTGAAGTTTTTAATGACCAGGGATTGGTTCAGGGGTTGGTTGTTTTTCAGTTGCTAAGTCATGTCCTATTCTTTGTGATCCCATGAACTATAGCCACCAGGCTTCATTGTCCTTCACTATAACCTAGAGTTTGCTCAAACTCATGTAAATTGAGTCAATGATGCCATCCAACCATCTTATCCTCTATCACACCCTTCTCCTCTTGCCCACAATCTTTCCCAGAATCAGGGTCTTTTCCAGGGTGTCAACTGGCCAAGATTTTGGAGCTTTAGCTTCAGCATCTGTCATTTCAATGAATGAATAGTCAGGGTTGATTTCCTTTAGGATTGAACTAGTTTGATGACCTTGCTGTCCAAGGGACTCTCAAGAGTCTGCTCCAGTACTATTATTCAGAGGCATCAATTATTTGGCACTCAGCCTTCTTTATGGTCCAACTTCTCACATCCCTACATGACTACTGGGAAAATCATAGCTTTGACTCTACCCTCAAAGTGATGTCTCTGCTCTTTAACACACTGTCTAGTTTTTGTCATAGCTTTTCTTCCGAGGAGCTAGTGTCTTTTAATTTCATGGCTACAGTCACCATCCACAGTGATTCTGGTGCCCAAGAAAATAAAATCTGTCACTGTTTCCACTTTTTACCCATCTATTTGCCATGAGGTGGTAGAACCAGATGCTATGAACTTCATTTTTTGAATGTTGAATTTTAGGCCAGCTTTTTCACTCTCCTCTTTCACCCTCATCAGAAGTTTTTTAGTTAATCTTCACTTTCTGCCATTAAAGTGGTATCATATATATATTTGAGGTTGTTGCTATTTTTTTCGGCAATCTTGATTCCAGTTGTGAGTGTAGGGCTTCTCAGGTTGCTCGGCAGTAAAGAATCTGCCTGCCAATGCAAAAGCCTCGGGAGACACAAGTTAGATCCTTGGGTTCGGAAGGTCCCCTGGAGGAGGAAGTGGCAACTCACTCCAGTTTTCTTGCTGGGATAAATTCATGGACACAGGAGCATCTTGAGGGCTACAGTACATTGGGTTGCAAAGAGTTGGACAGAACTGAGCATGCCCACATTATATATGTGTCTATATATGTTTACTCTGTTAGGCTGATGTCTTTATTATCTTGTAATGTGTTTGTCTATCACTGTCTTTGTTTTAAAGATGATTTTGTCTGATAAAAGTATTGTTGCCCCACATTCTTTCCAGTTACGTTTAATACATTTTTTCCACCCCTTCACTTTCAGAATGTGTGTGTCTTTATATCTGGAATATCTTCTAGGCAGTACGTGTGTGTGTGTATGTTCTAAGTCACTTCAGTTGTGTCTGATGCTTTGCAACCCTAACAACTGTAACCCTCCAGGCTCCTCTGCCCATGGGATTTTCCTGGCAAGAGTACTGGAGTGAATCGCCATGCCCACCTATAGGGGCTCCCCTGACCCCAGGACTGACCCCACCTCTCTATGTCTTCTGCACTGGCAGTGGCTCTTTACCACCAGTGCCACCTGGGAAGCTCAGTCAGTACAGAAACTAAGTACTTACTTTCTTACTCATTTAGTCACTCTGTACTTTTGATTTACTAATATATTCCATTTATATTTAAAATAAGTATCCATATGTATTTCCTAATGCCATTGTGTTAATTATTATTTTCTTGGTAGTTCTTTTAAAAATTCCTTTTTTTGTTGTTGTCTTCTCTTGTGATTTGTTTACTCTTTAGTGTTATATTTGGATTCTTCTCTCCTCTATTTTGTGTGGCATTTATCATAGGATTTTGGTTTGTGACTACTGTGACATTTAAATATAGCTCTCTCTCTCTATCTATATATGCAAGGTGTCAACTTATCTATATCTTCATATCTACTATTTATCTCAGAGTTTCTTCTTTATATATTCAGTTTCTTCAGTCGTGGAAAGTCTTCAGATAATGCTAACCAATAGTTGCTCTGTAAATAGCTATAAGTTAGGTGTTCCCAAGGGAGGAGTGAGCTCAGTATTCTATTCTGTCATCTGGGCCACTTCCTGCTCACACTTGCAAGCAAATATCACTGATTAAAGAGCTTTTATTTATTTATTTATTTTTTGTTGGTGTTCAGTGCTGGAAATTTCCCTGTAGGTGCTGCTTTACTATTTCCCACTAATTATTATGTTGTGTTTTATTTTCATTTTCTTAAAAATAATTTCTATATGTACTTTTAAATTTTACTTATAAGGTATTTAGAAGTGTTTTAAATATTCTTTCAAATATTTGGGAATTTTTCATAGATCTATTTTCTACTACTGGTTTCTAATGAAATTATCAACACATGGGGGTCAGAAAAATACTTCCCATAGCTTGAATTATTTTAAAATTATTGCATGTTTTTATGGCCCCAAATACGGTCTATTGGAATCAGGTTTTTCTCATTGATAGTTGCTCTGTAAACAGTTGTAATTTTGGGGTGCCTATGGGAGGGGGTGTTCTACATTAAACAATTAGGTAGCAAAAGGCCGAATTTCAAAATGAGATTATAACTTGAATTCCAGTGGCCCCTAAGTCACAGACTGATGTTCTATCATTCTAAGCAATAAGGGATAAAAGTCCATAAACTTCCTAGGAATTGCTGGTTTAATAGTTTATTTCTTTCAATGGAAAATATTTAAATCATTTACCAACTTTTTCTTATCTTATCAGGCTTTCTCCTCTGTGGACATGGAAGTTGGAAATCGCACCCTCCTGAATGAATTCATCTTACTGGGCCTCTCAACAGACCCTCAGTGGAAACTGACCCTATTTGGAATATTTCTGATGCTTTATTTGATCACTTTGTCAGGGGACATGTCCTTAGTTATCCTAATCTATGTCGATTCTTGCCTGCACACACCTATGTATTTTTTCATTGGCAATCTCTCTTTCTTGGATTTCTGGTACACCTCTGTGTACACCCCCAAAATCCTTGCAACTTGTGTCTCAGAGTATAAGCGTATGTCACTGGCTGGATGTGGAGCCCAGTTTTTCTTTTCCTGTGCTGTAACCTACACTGAGTGCTATCTTCTAGCAGCCATGGCCTATAACCGCCACATGGCGATCTGTAACCCGCTACTTTATTCAAGTACTATGGCCCTTCTCTCTGTACCGGACTCGTTGCTGGCTCCTACATAGGAGGGTTCTTGAATGCTATAGCACATACTGCCAACACGTTTCGCCTGAGTTTCTGTGGCAAAAATATTATTGATCACTATTTCTGTGATGTGCCACCATTGGTGAAAATGTCATGCACAGACACCAAGGTCTATGAACAGGTCCTCCTGGGTCTCGTGGGTTTCACAGTCCTCTCCAACATTCTTGTCATCATAATTTCCTATTTCAACATCTCTCTGGCTATTCTGAGGATCCGCACAGCTTCAGGAAGACGCAAAGCCTTCTCCACCTGTGCTTCACACCTGGTCTCGGTCATGCTCTTCTATGGATCATTGCTCTTCACATATGCAAGGCCAAGCTCCACCTACTCCCTGGGGAAGGACAAAGTGGCATCTCTGTTTTACACTGTGGTCAACCCATTGCTCAATCCTCTTATCTATAGCCTGAGAAACAAAGATGTTAAAGCGGCCTTCTGGAAAGCAACACAGACTATAAGACCTCAGAGATGAAGGTGATCTTTTTGCAGGATGCTATCATTGCATTTGCCAAATTACTGTCTTATAAACATGCTTGTGCACATTGCCATATTTCAAGTAAATACAACACATTTTACTTAAAAGATGAATCATTGATTGAACCACTTTCTGTTGATTATTATTTTGTTGTGATTAAACTTTTAAAACTAATATTGAGTTGTTTGATGCTCTACAATATTGCATTCTGCTGCTTCGCAGTACTCGATTTTCATAAAAACTCATCCTCTTTGATTTTGGGGGAGCTCTCTTTGTAAAAGAAAGTGGATTTGGATAGTTTTCAAATGCATAGTTTGAGTTTGAAGCTTGTTGAGCAAACTTTACTGATCAAGAAGTAGATTTAAAATTTTGAAAAAGCTGGAAACAAAATTTGACAAATATTTGTTTTGATTAAGACGTTCTCCCGAACGCCCTCATAAAACTCTAACTGAGTATATTGATTATTTCTTTGTCATCCTTGTGCCTTCAACTTCAATGAAATATTAAGCAAAGTGTTTGAATTGTTTATAATATGAAGAAAACACTTTTCTAAATATAGAGAAATATATGTTATTAAGATTACATAACACCTTAAGTGTGATCTCTTCCAGATAGACTGAGTAGTCTGCCATTCCATCCATCTGATCATGAACTGAATATTCCCCATGAAGGAAAATAACAACATCAAATGGGACAAATAAACACACACACACACACACACACACACACACAAAGAAAACAAAACAAAACAAAAAAACAAAGACCCAACAAATTAAAGCTCTGCTGTATTCTAGATTCAGTGTTTGTTCCTACCCTCACAGACACTGATAGAATTTTTTAATTACCTAGAACCTTACAGACCAATATTTAGTACAAGGCAGGTTTAGTTGTTTTTCTTCCCGTGATTTGCTTGTAATATATAGCTCTTTTTGAAAACTGATTCTGCACTTTATACTTAATATTTTAAAAAGTTCATTGTAAGCAATAATAACCTCCATTGCTTTTGGAAGAGTACTGATCCTTTTGCTGTCATCAATATTCATAACAAAGGTAATGAACAATAACTTTCCAGATACTTTTGTTGTTCATAATCAGATGTTATATATTTGACTTTCAAAAATACTTTCATGCCTGTAAAAACAGGTTATAGAAACTGTAAACTATAAAACTGAAGATAATGTTTCCAAACATACTAATTCATTTTTTGTAGGTGATCCTTCAAGATATGTTTTAATTTCCACATATATGCTTAAGTGATAGCTAGGCAATTGCAAAACAATGAATCTATGATTCTAATCTGGAATTGTGAGTTTCTGACACAGCTGATTAAGTTAAAACTTATCCTGTTATCTACCCTCCCCCAATTTTTGTAATTTGTATTAGGAAGTTTGCATTTTACCTTTAAAAAGAGGGTAAATTCAAATCAGGCTACCATCCCCAATGTGGATTTGCATGGCAAGGGAAAGCTAAGTGCTCGGTTATATCCACCTCTGGTTATTACCCTAAAAGTGAGCACATCCTGGCATTGGTTCTGTCTCTGTTTGACTTGTCTACCTCCTGCCAAGTCTATTCAGCAAGTAGCTTGTGAAATACTCTGAACGTAGTATGTATAGATTCTATATTTATGGACTATATATGAGATCATTGGCTAGTGGGAAATTTCTGCATCATCTAGAGATTAGATGGAGAAAGAGGAAGAAAACCAGAAGAAAGCAGAGGAACTCATTTCTTATGAAAAAAAGTTAAAATCATTCATTGATAAACATTGAAAGGAAGGTATTTTGAGAACAACATTTGAAAATTTCTGGTGAACTTTACTTAATTTTAAATAATTTTAATAATTATTTTCTTTTTACCTTTTGACCACCTGAAATGACTAATTAAAAAAATGCTATTTACAACAATGCTGCAAATTACAGAATATTGGTTACATTTGACAAATGAGTAGTTTGCATCTCAGAAGTTACAATTTTTTGTTGAAAGAGTATAGCTATTGTAATGGGCACATTTATGCAATACAGTTAAATAAAAGTTTTAGAACCAATAGTTGATGCCAATTCATAATTTGTACTAGCTCTGATATTTCTGATTTTTCTTTTCATCTGTGTTTGTTATCTAATACATCATTGCTTTCTCTTTCCATCACAAAATTCTTCACAGTCCTTACTCTTTCATTACCACAGAAGCACTGTATCAGACAAGAAGAATTTGGGATATATTCCACAGATGTCAAGAATTCATTTAATGGTTTCTTCACAATCCTTTAATGCTCATCAAGTAGGTGGAAAATGGGTCTATCCCAAGGAGATAGTAAAATTTAATCTTTTGAAATTCCAGAAGTGATATGTACTCTTGTATTGCATTAACTTTTGATATCATTTTTAAAAATTATATTAAGTTGAATTTATTAAGTTGTATAATAGATTATAGCAGAATTATTAAACAAAACAAACTAATGCAAGGTAAAAGACTTTTTCATTAAATTTCTTTGAGTAGAGAAACAGGTGTTTTTTTTGTTTGTTTTGTTTTGTTTTTTAATATCTCTCCCCAAACTTCCCTTGAAGCAGTCTGTTTTCACTGAGCAATGTTTCAGGAAATTTATGTCAGTTTAGACTTCAGATTATGTGAACCTGAAGAGTTTTTTCAGAGCATCTTTAACATCGTTATTCCTAAGGCTGTAGATCATGGGGTTCAACATGGGGAATACCACGGTGTAAAATGTAGACACCATCTTGTCCCTCTCAAGGGAATAGCTGGAACTTGGACGGGAGTAGACGTAGAGAATGGAGCCATAGTACAAGGTGACAGAGATCAGGTGGGAGGAGCAGGTGGAGAAGGCTTTGAGGTGGCCCTGGGTGGAGCGAATTCGCAAGATGGCAGCAATGATGAAGGCGTAGGAAGCAAGGATGAGCACAGTGGGGGTGATGACGTTGGAGGCCAGGAGGAAGTACAACACATCCTGGTATGTCTCTTTCACATCACAAGCCAATTTCACGAGAGGTGGAACATCACAGAAAAAGTCATCAATAATATTACCACCACAAAAATTCAATGTGAATGTGTTGCTGGTGAGTATTATTGCATTGACAAAACCCCCAGTATAGGAATATATAACCAAACAGATGCAGAGTCTCCTCGACATGACCTGAGCATAGAGCAGGGGACTGGAAATGGCGGCGTAGCGGTCATAAGCCATGGCAGCCAGCAGGTAGCACTCACTGTAGGCCAGCCCCGCAGAGAAGAAGAACTGGACCACACAGCCAGTGAAGGAGATGCTTTTGTCTTCAGAGATGCAGGTCACTAGGATCTTTGGGGTGTACACAGAGGAGTACCAGAGATCCAGGAAAGACAGATTTCCAATGAAAAAGTACATGGGTGTGTGCAGTCGGGAGTCGTTACAGATCAGCACTATGAGGGTGGTATTTCCTACCAGGGTCATGGAGTAGACGCCAAGGAAGACCACAAACAGGACCAGCTGCATCTTGGGGTCTGTTGTGAATCCCACAAGGATGAACTCAGTCACCGTATGATTGTTCTTCTCCATGGTTTAAAGAGACCTCACCTACAAATGAAGGAATCAAGTGTTTAATTAACCTCAACCCATACCAAAGGAGGGCATTCTCTTATACAAACCTATGAAATATGGTCAAGACTATGGCTATTAAAGTAAGGAAGAGCTGAACAGGAATCTTGGCTTACTTGGGAAAATGAGGGAAGTTTTCTGAGCCTAAACATGTTTATTTCAACAAAGTGACTTGAATAAAAGAAAGACTTAATGCTGTTTGGGGCTTCTTCATGTATTAGGAAAACATTTCTTGAGTCCTTGGGGCTGTCTGGGCATTAGGACACAGTAGTGAAGCTAACAGCATTGACTGTTATTCTGTGGAGGCTTTATTTAGAAAGGAGAGATGCATAGGTAATGCAGGGATAAAGAATCCGCCTGCTAATGACAGAACTGCCAGAGATGCAGGTTTGATCCCTGATTCAGGAAGATCCCCTGGAGGAAGAAATGGTGACGCTCTCCAGTACTCTTGCTTGGAAAATCCCATGGGCAGTGGGGCCTGGCGAGTTACAGTCCATGGGGTCACAAAGAGTCAGACATGACTTAGTGACTGAGCATGTACATGCTATACAGGTAAACAAATAAGAATTTTTTTCATTTAATGATAGATGATATTAAGAAAAAACTGAATGATTTGGTGAAGAGGA